TTTTATGATGCTGACTTTTACTTCAAGACAAAGAAATTGATCTTCAATACTTGAAAAATCAAGGTTGCATGACTGACAGGCAGATGCAATCTCAGCTCTGCATAAAAATGGCCTCCCACTTCAAAAAAACTGAACAGCATTTGTGCAGCATGTCAGCTTTTGTGGAAAATGCACAAATGTATTCATACATATTTATTTTGAAAGGGAACTCATAGCCAACTGAGCATATCTACAAAAATATATATGAAGTGGCATGCTGGTCAAATTATTTATTTTCTCTTGCTAGTAGGGGATATTTGGGGAAAAAAAACTGGCATAATGCTAATTTTCAGCAACATACTGAACTGTCAGTCAGTCTCACAGTATTTTAGAGAAGAAGAGCAACTAGTCTGCACTAATTAAATTTCACTTACTTGGCCTAGACCACCAAGTGTCAGGACTTCTATGCTACAACCAACTAATATGGTTGTAAAGAATGTGACTTTTCAAACGTGGAAGTTCATTAATTATTCTAGAAAGGCTTACAACCCATTTTGCCTAAAAGCCTATCATGTACGTTTCTTCCAGTAGCTTTTTCTAAGGACTTTCATTGCATTCCCTGGAGAAAACTCTTAGAAAAAGCAGGAGGACATACAAAATCCTTGTAGCCTTGTTACAAGCTGCCATGTTGGCAACTACCATTTACACTAACGATCTTCAAGATGTATTTTTAAGTTACTTAAGAGAATTAAAGGGATTACCAGCTTCACTGCAGTGTTAAATGTCAGCTCTTTCTAGGCTTTCTGAAATCCCAGGACTCCTTTTTTTTTTATTTGGCATTCAGTTTGGGAGAGTTCAGTAATTCAGATTATGTATAGTTGTATATTTTGTCTCCCAAAATCCATTACAAAAGGTGACTAGCATTTCACCAGCACACTTGCGAATGAAACAAGGGCTCTGATTTTATCCCAGTTTTTGCCTGCCATCCACTACTGTCGGGGAAGTAACACAGCATTCAACAACCGCTTGCGACGCACTTCGCACGTGCCTTCAAAACCTCCCCCAAGATCTGCGAGCCTGGTGCCCAGCCACCCCGCTGCAAAGGATCCGAGCAGTCCCGGAGACCCCGCTGTAGCTACTCAACTTGACAATGTCAGTTTGGATCAGAACTTTGCAGAAGAAAGATTAATCTCCTAGAGATCATGGGTTTTTATTCTCAACTTTTCCTCAAAAAGAAATGCAGTTTGAGATGTGTTCAAATTGGTTTTGAAAAAATGAATAATAATAATAAAAAAATGTTTTCTGTGAGGAAATGGAGAAAGAGAAGTAAACAGAAGTGGGAAAGGGGGACTGAGAAAAAATTGGGGAAGAAGAAGGTTCACTGTGGTCAGAGGGAAGAACAGAACAGGCATGAAGACCAGTGCAAAGATGTAAACAGGTAATTTGGCAGAGAGAATATGAGGTGGGGTGCATGCCAGTCCCTCATTTTCTCTCTTTTCTGCATGGCAAAAGCCCCTCAGGAGTACCCAAATCCTATTCTCATCTCCTCTCAAGTCATCTGCAGCCTGAGGGGACCCTGAATGTTTGGTGAACTCCTCTCTTCCTTCCCAGTGCAGACTAAGCCTCTCTGAGGACCTCTCTCTTTGGGGAGTCATTAACCCCAAGGCGATTAAGCACTAGGACCATGGAATGAAGGCAATGGAAATAAAAATCTCGTAAGCCTCAGAAAGACAAAATTAAGGGACAGATAACACCTCCTTAGGGTGGAAAGCTGACTATGGTGAGGTGAAGAAAATAATCTAGTTTGAGTGGGATGAGCTGGGGTGGATGTGGAGCACATCTGGGGCAGCCTGGCAGAAGGAAAAGGCAGCCTACCTAAGGTGACACGCATGGCGGGGGCACGAGACCGCTGCAAATACAGTGTGTGCCGTACAACATCCCTTGCGTGTAACCCCAGCTGTGATACGCACCCTCTGCTACAACAGTTTACGCGCCACCGTCCTCCTATGTCCTACAGGCTTGACGGGGCAAGAAGGGAAGTTATCAACTAGAAAGAGTAGCGTAGGGACAGCATCTTCTGTGACTACCACGCAGTAAAACCATCCACAGTTGGGAACAGAGTCTGCCTGGATTTTTTTCACCACACAGTCCAAATATTTTTAAGTGAGACCATGAGATCCACTCCCACAAGACAGAAATTAGGACAGGTGCTTGGAAACCACATATTATTTTCCAACTAGCCGCAAGAGCATCACCAGCAGTGACTGCAAATGTATAACTAATCATTAAGGCATTACAAAGAACAAATACATTGTTAATAAAAAATTTCTAGGAAATCCAATAGCATGAAGCTTTACTAGGACAGGATAGCAGGTGTTTTATGGTATTTGCTCCCCTTCTAGAACTTGAAGTTCAGGAAAATGGAAAAAAAAAAAATCTGCCAACAATAAAACTTCCAAAATGGAAAATACCAAGTGAAGGTCACACAACCTCTGTTTCACCTTTCTGACTAGTTATCCCTGGGCGCACATTTGTACCTTGTATTCAAAGTGTTCTGAACATCAGCCATCTACATCCTTCCCATAATCACATCAAAGTTTGTTTCTTGGGGAAAAAAACCTTCCTTCCATCTGCTACGTTTGACAACGCTTTCACCCATACGTGTCACCAAATTCTGTGCTTTCATTACCCATCCTTAAACCCACACGTCACACGTATCTCCCACCTAACTGCTGGCAGCTCCATCACAAGACCATCACTTTGTCCTCTCACTGAAGCAGCATGGAAATCAAATGCCACACCATGCACCCAGCAGCCAACTTTCTTGACCCAGATACAGAGGGTAAAATAGTGGGGATCCATATATGTATTTAATACCAGGGACGCATATAATCCCTTTTGGTCACTGCCAGCTCTCAGAAAACAAAAGATAACAGTTACTGGAGCTTAACTTCATTTTCTAGATATTCAAAGTTTGAAGCAACTGCATTTATCTTTTATTTCCTTCCCGACTCAATTTACTATTGTAGCACTTAAAGCCTACACAACAGACTTGCTGTTTTATCAATATTATCAATTCCACCTTTGGAGAGTCTCTCTTATGTAAAGCACAATAGTAAATAGAAAAGTGAATAAAAATGGTTTAATATAACACAGTTCTATAACTTATGTGGTTTATCTTCAACGCTGTCACTTTTTTAAGGCACAAATACAGACTGCAGCATGTTGAGGGTGGGAGAGAGTAAAGGGAGTGAAAAGTTAGATCCTGCTACTCAAATACCAGAGATGGTATTTGGATATAAACCAATTTCTTCTGAGGCTGTGACTGCTAGATCTGCTAAATCTCATGCTCTGATTCCCACCAGACAGGATTTTTTTTTTTTTAACTTTTCGATAAAAGGCAAAAATCTTTAACAGCATGGAAAGTTAGAAACTAGGCATACACAGTTTGACAATCTTTCTACAGGAAAGAAAAAACAAAGGTACTGTCAGTTTTCAGCTGCCAGTGCTTCCAAACACAAAATCTGCCTTTGTCTTTGTATCTTTGTTGCTCCTAAAGGAGTTCAACACAACAAAATCAAAGACCAAGAGGGGCTGCATGCATGCATGCATGCGTGACAGAAAGTAGAATGATGAAAAATTCAAAGTTTGGGTAGTATGTCATTAAAGCTATCAGTTTTCTTTTGGTTTCCTGCTGTGGCCTTACCAAAAGAAGCTTATCTGATGAACTAATAAAAGACTCTGCACAAAATGCAAAAAAGCACTTAGATCAGGCAACCTGTGATTGAAACAATTATGAAGCAAATACATTCCCACAGACTATATTTGTATATATTTCAAATTGCCATATTGAAATGAGTCCTTTTCTAGTAACATCACATTTGCTTCATACTCCATTTCACACTACTGACAAAAATCATGATAGCAATCACAGAACACAGTCTGAAATGAAGCAGTTCACGGTACACAAGCAAACTTATGGTAGTGATTTGCCAAGAGCTAGAACTTAAAAGTCTCAGAATTAAACGAGCACAATGAGGAAAAACTGGAGCAGTTTAAATGACAGAGCAGGTTAATAAAACGTAAGATACTGTAAATGTAGTGTATGATACACAGGAAACAGATCAGGAACTGGGGAAAAACATCACTTTGCCTTTTCTGCATTTCTTTTGACCATTCTAAAACTAGTCACAGATGATCCTCCTCCTGAAGTTTCCTGCTTTACATTTCTCTATTTACAACAAACTCACAATATAAAAGGGTGATTTAATTAAAACCCACATGCTAAGAATATACATGTATTTCATATAATGCACAATTCAACTCAAAATCTGATTTATTACTAGAGAACGTCATCGAGTTAATTATCCATATGATATATGAATCATATAGTAAATTCTAGATGTATGGGATTAAATTTTCAAAAGGCACTAAACAATTCTGTCAAATTTATGTCTTGCGGTTTGCATTCCACTTCTGACATTTTCAGCCGTTACCTTTTCTAGCAAGCATGCCCAGTGCAGGTTTAGACTTCGCCCTGAACTCTTTCCTATTTTGGGCATTTTAGTATCTTTTCAGGGATGCTCTATGTCTAGCATGGCACAGTATTAAGTGGAATTAAATCTGGTCGATCTACACAGAAACCTATACGCAAGAAGTTTGTCCTGACCAGATCAATGTAAACTTTTAAGCCCTCAGGAAATTCAGCTTTAATCACTTTTGAATATAGCCGTACATTCATACATTCAGGTATGAAGAGGCACAATGTGTGCTAGAGTAAGTGTTTTGCACGTGATGAACGCAGAAGTCTACATCATCCCAGCAGACAATACCAGAGGGAGGTACAAGCCCCACACCAGCCTTCATTCCAATAAATCCACTCCAAAAGCAAGAACAGGTCCAACCCTGTATAAAATCTACATAAGACCATGATAATACTGAAGTCATCCATCCCTAGTAAGGCAATAATAAAAGCGTCAAAGTCCGATATCACACATTGGTTTGCAATAGAGGACTCCTACCTTTTCAGTTTCATATAATTTTCACTAGCTGCAGGTCTGCATTCAGCACGTTGCACCACTATTCCTTCCAAGGAAAGTTTATCTAGAATGAAAAAAACAAAGTAAAACTGGACATTAAAATAAGATTCACCAACATAGTCAACATTTGAAGTAGTTTTCATTAATTAAGCATTTAGTAAATATAATGTAATTTTAAGTTCATGAATCTCAAATTAAGTTCTAAAATCTCTGCTACTTAGACACCAAAGAAATAAGCAGGAAAAAAATGCTTGCATAGCTGGTATCCCCTAGGCTTCCTTATTTTGCCATCAGATGTTTTACATACTAAGAGTGAACCACAGAGACCGAATTTTAAATAAGACATGGTAACTGTGTGGTCATCCTTCCTCTAGATGCACTCTAGCTTATCTAGGAACCATTTTCTGAAAATGTGCATTGAATACAGTCAGTGGCCATGAAAAAAAAATCTACAAAGAGAACCTGATCATCAAAGTATCCAAAAATTAGTGGAAGATAAAACAAGAGCTAATTTTATTCCTATCGTCAGAAAAAGACTAACCTATTTTCATCTTATTACAGTAAAAAAAAAGTTCTTCACTAAAGCAACATAATGCAATAAAGGAATATGCTAACACCTGGGGAAAGAAATAAAAACTTGCGGTTATTAATCTAGGAGATCACATACTAAATTTTAGTTAATACTGCTCTCTGTACATTCACCTCTGTAACAGTCCCTTTGTAATCCAACGTGAACATCTTTTTGCCTAAAGCAATGACGACTAACAGAGTAGTGCAAGAGTACCAGCCTATTCCTTAAGGTGGAAAAGCCTAAAAATTAAAAGCAACCTGATGTAGAAAGGGAGAGAGCTGTGATGGTGGCCAAACACCTGCTTTGCTACTACAATGTTCTAGTGCACAGTGTGTGTGTGTGGGGGGGGGATGCCAACTTAACCGTCTCTTTTGGATATAGCCAGTGCAATATATATAAAATATACACCTCTGGGAACAACTTCACATAACAAGAAAGGATGATTTTCTTAGCTTTAACAGCCTGATTAGCTCTTGCTATTGAAAATGGCCTTCTAAAAGAGAGCCTCATCTTGCTATTGGTGTAGGGTTCTACACCATCATCCTCACCTTCAGCCAGCAATGTCACGGAAGATAACAGAAACACTTAGAAGTACTGATGCCAAGTAGTACAAGGCACTCTGAGACGCCTGTAACTTCTCCATTGCTTTATAGACTGAAATATTATTACACTTAGAAATCTAAGTCTGCTCTCCATGAATAATGCAGAGGGAGATTACTTTGACACCAAATATTTTAAAATTATTTAATTTAAAATGTCTTGGTTTGATTTAAACTAAATCCTTGAAAGGAGTAAGAATGCCATACTTTTCCAGGTAGTTCTGAGCAAAACAAAGCAAATTTTTATGAAAACACTTCTGGTTTTACAGATTCCTAAGGCTTACAGTCAAGAGAGACAACTTGGCCAATTTGCCTGACCTCCTGCGTATCACCTCCCGTGTAACTTCTTTCTTCTGTACAGAACCTAGTAACTTATGTGCGGCTAAAGTGGTACTAATATTGCTGCTTAATTTCTAATACAAATTTGCCTCCAGCTTCTAGCAGTTGGTTCTTCTTACGTCTTTCTATACTATGCTAAAGAGCCTTTTAGTACCTGGTGTTTTCTCCCTGTGAAAGTACTTATACATTGTAATCAAGTCACTTCTCAATCGTCTTTTCAATAAATGAAGTAATTCAAGCTCATGCATTATCTCACCACAAGGCATTTTATGCCACACTTAAATCAGTTTTGGGGCTTTTATCTGCACCCTGTTCAATCTTGCAATGACGTTTTAGGAATACAGAGACCAGAAAATAGATATAATACTCCTGTACTGGTACAGTACCAAAACCATATAGAGAGGTAAAATAACAAATACAAGAGAAGACGCTGGAATTTCTCTCTCCTCACTTGAGCCATCTCAAGGTTATTCCACAGACCCTCTGAATTCAGCTAAGAGAGGGAGGAAGGGAGACTTTCAAAAGAAAATTGGTCCCATCTCCTTTAGGATTCAGTGATCTCCCCTGTCTGGTGGGCTTTTTGTGGTTTGGGGTTTTGAGGTTTTTGTGTGTCTGTGTCCTATGACTGTGCTTCATGTTTAGATGGCTAAAACTGGGTTAAGATCAATTTGTCTCTAAAAATTAGCTCTGGAGGTTGATGGAGCTGACTGGCTATTATATCACCAATACGTCTATTTTGAGTCTTTTCCAAGCCTCCCATTTTACCTATGTGCTCCACATTCCCTGCTCCTAGGTATATAATTTCCTCTGGCTTGGTTAAAATGCATTGTCTTTAAACAGATCCTGTGAATTAAGTGATCCCGGTCACACCATGACAGTCCTGTCATAGTGATTCACTGTCTGACCAGCATTTGTGTCAATCATGACACATTTTATAAGCAGTGATTCTCACTTACTACTGCCCTTCTTGCTAATACTGGAGGAGGCCCTTCAAACTACAACCCAAGCAGCTCCCTACTGATAATTACTTTCTGATAACTGTCAGCCAGTTTTTCGTCTTGTTCTGTGCTTGCTATTTTATTTTTTTTAGACATAAATTAGAATGTCACAAGATTCTAAATCATGTGCAATACGAAATGCTAAGCAGGCTGCAAACATGCTGTTACTTTTTCAAACTCACAATCTTCAAAATAAACAAAATCGGGTTTGTTTGACCAGAAAACCTTTACATAAAGCCATGTTTGCCAGCATGCATTATATTTCTGATCTTTTCTACCTCTTGAACTCCATGACAATTTTTCCATTAGTTTCTATGGTACAGGTTCAAGGCTAGCTAGACTATACTCATCTGAGCCATGCAGCCCAGCCATCTGAACACTGACACGCCACTATCAATCTCTCTGCACCTTGCACAACTTTCAAATTATTCTTAAGTTTTAAGAATCAGGATCAGTGAACCAGATAGCTCCCACACACCAACTATTTAGGAACCGAACCTGCCAATTAAATATGCTTATCCTTAGTAATATCTCATCTTTGACGTCTTGGCTAATACCTTCTTTTAATTACCTCTGATCCGGATTTGGCTTTTAATGTTCCAGTCGCTTCACAGCACAAGGCTGTCCGCAGTCACCAAGTGCATTGACTTGCAGCTAAGCTAGTCTGCTGTCAAAGCTCATCTACTGTCCAAAAGCCAAGGTTTATGTCCCAGTTTCCCTGGAGCCTCTTGGGGATTTTAATACATCCAGGGAGTCTAGCAGAATAAATACGCAAAGATGCATACAAACCTCCGGATGCAAGCCTGTAGTGAGGGAACACAGTTTCTGCTCCTGTTGCAGCCTAATTAGCCCTTATTCACCAAACTCAAGTTCAGAGACTTTGGTCTGTCTTCGCTTGTTGCAGGACCAGAGCTGCAATGAAAAGACATCTAAAGTGCTACACGTCTGCCTTGATGTTTCCATAGTCACATCAGCCCAGAAGCCAAAGGATCAGTAAGGCCTGAAAGTGATAATTCCCTGTTAAAAATACCTACCCAAAATAAAGCAGATAGTACAAGATAAATGAATTGGTAATAGCTAACACCAGTGATTAGACGGGAAAATAGACATTTTCCCAAGTGTCTTACACTCTCAGTTGCCCTTTGTGGGGTGGCAGGTACAAGTACACTGAGAGTGCAGCTCCAGGCAGGCTGATCTACATAACATCATTAGCTGCCAAATGTACACTCACCTCGACCTCCCTGCCTAAATGCCCCGGTGCCAATTCATAAAGGAATTTCAACTGCTGACTCTTTCAGTGAGATTTTAGGGCGGTGTGCTGGGGGGGTGCCGATTCCAGCTTCAAATCCTGCTGACAAACCACCATCAAATGAACAGAATGTGGTTAAAATGCTTAAGGCAATCTTAATAAACAGGCACCGGGGAAATTTACTGGAATTGTGCAGAAGATGGTCTGATAGGGGTTGGGGTTTTGGTGTTTGGGTTTTTTTGTTTGGGCTTTTTGTGGGTTGTTTTTTTTTTTGAGAGAGAGATGGACTGGCTTGGAGATTTTAATGTGTTAGTTTTCTAGTCTGACTGCATCCAGCTCCAATTTCCAGCCACTGGGTCTTATTAAAACCATTGACTGCTAAGTTGAAGAGCCTGCTATGAAAGCATTTCTGCCCATCCAAGCACTTATGTACTCTCCACCTTTATCAAGTCTAATAAAAATAAATCTCGTTTTCTCGTATCTTCCATTAGGCCTATTTTTCAGCTTCTTAATCATTCTTATTGGCCTGAGAAAGTTCAGTTCATGAATGTCTCTCCCGAGCTGTGAGCCTCACAGCCAGTTGACGGTGTGTGGGACAGAATCTGGAGTTTACCAGCTCCTGCTCTTTGTGACAGGTGCCAGGGAAGGAGGAGATGAAGACCTGTCTCAGGATGCACGATTCCCAGGCAGCAGGAGCAAGTGGAAAAAAGTGCAGTAAGGACAGGCTATGGGCATGTGTGCCTCCAGCTCCTCAGCAGGCAGAAGTTGGGCTGTTGCTTCCTAGCGTCCAAGTCGGAAGCCCCGGTAGTTCCCGCTGCCCACTTACACCGCTGTGTAGCCTCCCAGGCTATTGCATATGATGGCTGGACATGGAGCAGCCCCCTCCTACACCAGACCTCAGCTCTGCTCTTCCAGACCAGAGGCATTTTGTGACACCTCTCTTTCACTCAAACGACAGCCTCGAAGCTGGTGCCCTTCTCGGATCACCCTTCCCTGGTAGCTACTCAGCTAAAGAAGAGGATTGCCCAGTCTTTACTTGTCACTCCCTTATTTAGGCATCCAAAGATGCACACTACATTTGTTTTACTGACCACACCACAGAACCATGACTTCATATTCAGTTGATGACGCATTATGTGCCGGGCAGAGTCTCTGCCCTACCGCTCCCGCAAACATATACTGCAAGCTTCATCTACAGTACATTCCCAGGTGTATAAACTTCACGTTTGGCTTTATTAAAATGTTATCCTAACCAACTATCCAAACTATGCATCAGCAATATATCTCCTTATTGATTACATTCTCAGT